CAATAAACAAATTGTGACTTTAAAATTTTTAATTTGTGACCAATGAACGAACCATGGCCTATAAAATTTTTGAATTGTGACTTTAAATTGTTTGAATTGTGACTAAATTGTATAGATCTGTGACATTTATATATTTATTAATAAAATATATAATTAATTAATTAAATTATAAATAAATTTTATTGAAAACCTGATTTTTGAAATTTAAAACCTCAAACCTTAATTTTGAAATGGTGATACTTAAATACCTTATTCATGAATTGTTCCCTTATTGGATTGTCAATAGGCCCAATTTGATAGCAGAAATTTTTTTCCATTTTCCAACTTTTATAGTATTTGAGGAGCAAAATTTTCTTGGGAAAATAGTTTCCAAATTTCCCACATTTTTGAAGAAAATAAATTCTTGATGTTTTCGTAGGTAAATATTTTCCAGGTTTTTTTTTATTGACAATTGGAAAAAATTCTATACACAATTGTAAAAAATAAAAAAATAAAAAATTCATTTTTATTGACAATTTCCATGCAAAACAAAGCCAAACAAAGCCAAACAAATGGTATTCGGTATAGTTATTATTATTATTATTATTTTTCTTTTTTTTGTAATTGGAACAAGTTATAGACCCAATGGTAGAAAATATTATCACTTTAATGGACAATTTCTATAAAAACGAAGTCAAACGGATACTAAACTTTCAACATTTTTCATGAAAAATTATATCGATCAAACACAATTAATTACAATTCACAATAAAATAATTTTTAGACAAATTAATTCCTTGTAAAACATTTTTTTTTCACTCATTTTCCACATTTACAATCAAACGAACCACGTGTAAATTTCAATTTCAAAAATCAATATTCAATAATAGATATAAATATTTTTCTTTCAATAATAAGATAATATTATTGTTTTTAAAAATTCTAAATTCACACACACACTGTCTCTCTCTATAACATAGAATTGACAATTCGACTCGACTCAACTAGTTTCCCGATTCCCTCGACCAATTCCGATAACAACTTTTTTACCAATATTTTTCTCCTAATTCTCATTTGAAATCAAACCCTAATTAATCGACCCATTTTGGACTCTTGGATCTTGGCATTTTTGAAGGTGATGATGATGACGAGGATGAAGAATTTAAGTTCCTTTGACGATGATATATGGGGGTGCTACTCCATGACTCCTCCCATCTTGTTTTTTTGTCGAAAACTGTATCCAAACTTCTTTTGAGAAAAAAAAAATGTTGATGATGTTGATCCCGAAAAATGTAGCCAACAGATATCGGGCCCACTCGTGCACGTGCAAGCCTTGTCCAGCACGCGTGTGCTGAAGAACGGTCAGAAAGACTCCAGAAGGTGGGCGTGGGAAGAGCTTACCGCACGAGACGTCAGAGTTCGGGCCTCCGACAAGAGAGATGGAACGATTGTATAAGAACCCAATCGATGAATAACAAGATTTGTAATTGTAAATTTTTAGTTGAAATGTACGTTGAAGAACAAGAGGAAAAATATTGCTCCAAATGTTTCTGTGTTCTTTTTATTTGGTGTGAGAAGTTTTATTACCTTTCTTGTGTTACATGTTGGGGTATTTATAGTGTTACAAGTCGAATAATGACATTTGGATTAATTTACACGTGGTCTTATCTCCTCGGCCAAGACATCAAGTCATAGCCATCAAGTTGACCATCTAGCCCTACAAAGCATTAAATGTTCTTACATTGACAAGACAAGACATAGAGTTTACTTTATACAAAAGCCACGTCAATCATTCACACGGATCTTTCATCATTGCAATATCTTTCCAAGTGGTCTTCTTTCACGCAAGGCTTGGGCCTGGGATGGCAATGAAGGCATAGGAACTGTCTTCAGGGCCTCGGAACGGTAGCCGGGCCTCGGAATCCACGTTAGAGACTAGGAGAATACATCCTGGCCTGAATAAGCTGGTCCCACCACTGAAGTACGGTGCCACGTGTCGCCTCTATATTATGACTCGTAACAGATGAACTGGCTAATTTTTCCCCTATGGAACGTTCCTTGCAAAGGATATTCAATTATGGGCCTTGAAGTAGTGATTCACTGTCAAAATTCTATTTTCGGGGTTATGAATGAGGTGCAGTTGGTGGTGCGATGGAGGTGTAGTACTGGTGATGTGGTGGTGTGATGGAAATGGAGGTGATAGGTGATGGTTGTGTTAGTGGTGGGTTATAAATTTGAGGCAACGATGACGATTAAGATGATGTACATATATAAGCATATAGACTTCCCCCAATTCACCGATATATAAAAGCAGCAAACTGGGAAAATTTTAGGGTTCCGGGGTTACGGTAAAGATCATGTGCATATATAAATATATAGACTTGAATGAAAGAAATGAATTCTACGAACAATTGAGATGGGTATATCAATCATGTACAACATTTTTACAATATTGGTCGACAATTACACACTTGGCATCATAGCATCTAACCGTTTTAAAANTATTTATAGTGTTACAAGTCGGATAATGACATTTGGATTAATTTACACATGGCCTTATCTCCTCGACCAAGACATCAAGTCATAGCCATCAAGTTGACCATCTAGCCTTACAAAGCATTAAATGTTCTTACATTGACAAGACAAAACATAGAGTTTACTTTATACAAAAGTCACGTCAATCATTCACACGGATCTTTCATCATTGCAATATCTTTCCAAGTGGTCTTCTTTCACGCGAGGCTTGGGCCTGGGATGGCAGTGAAGGCATAGGAACTGTCTTCAAGGCCTCAGGACGGTAGCCAGGGCCTCGAAATCCACGTCAGAGGCTAGGAGAATACATTTTGGCCTGAATAAGCTGGTCCCACCACTGAAGTATGGTGCCACGTGTCGCCTCTATATTATGACTCGTAACAGATGAACTGGCTAATTTTTCCCCTATGGAAAGTTCCTTGCAAAGGATATTCAATTATGGGCCTTGAAGCAGTGATTTACTGTCAAAATTCAATTTTCGTGGTTATGAATGAGGTGCAGTTGGTGGTGCGATGGAGGTGTAGTACTGGTGATGTGGTGGTGTGATGGAGATGGAGGTGATAGGTGATGGTTGTGTTAGTGGTGGGTTATAAATTTGAGGCGACGATGACGATTAAGATGATGTACATATATAAGCATACAGACTTCCCCCAATTCACCGATATATAAAAGCAGCAAACTGGGAAAATTTTAGGGTTCAGGGGTTACGGTAAAGATCATGTACATATATAAATATATAGACTTGAATGAAAGAAATGAATTCTACGAACAATTGAGATGGGTATATCAATCATGTACAACATTTTTACAATATTGGTCGACAATTACACACTTAGCATCATAGCATCTAACCGTTTTAAAAATTGTTAAAAATTGTTTTTTATATCAATGGTTGGTTGTCTACCATGTTTGTAGAATTAACTTTAATGATGGGCATAAATATTCTTGTTTGGTAGAAATTAAAATCAATATTTTAATTCAAGTTAAAGTCGACAAACTACACATTTCATGGAACCCACAACTTTTCAACTACACATTTCATCAACTTCTATTAATATCTACTAAAAATTTGATTTTAATCTCCACGAAAGAGACCATAGTAGGCTTTATGGAATGAGAAAGATTTAAACGTGTGCCCCTGAACTTTGGTGAATCATATTCACCGCCCACTATTTCTCAATATATCGGGAAACATGGAAAAATGATAGGTGGTGAATAAATTATAAAAATAAAAATAAAAATAAAAAATTTATAGAATTTTGATTTGAATTAGTTGATTTTGCGGTTCTCAAGTGATTCAGAACATTCTAAAAAAATTAAAGAACGTGGACATTAAAGCAAGTGAAAAGCTACTACCTTAGCACACCCCCAGATACCAAAACAAATACTTCAAGACATAAGCCTGCATCCGAAGTTTGGGCAATCAAGAGATCACAGTTAATGGCCTTACATATCAAAAAATATAGAAAACAAGATTTGTTCAAACTTCAAAGGGTTTTTGTTTTTTAAGAAATAACATCCAACTGTGCATCTTAGATCATAAAAAGATAAAGCACAACCGACGCACGGCCTCAATGGCAACTCAGAATATCCCTGTGAGGAGATTAGCAGCTGTGGAGATAGCTGCACCTGTTATCGCACCTTGCACCACCTGCTCATGAGAGTGATCCTCCGATGTCAAAGCCAATGCTGCTCCGGTAATTGCTCCAGCCAATGCACTATTTTTCTGCACGACACGAACAAAAGTCTCATGTTATGTTTATCAGAAACTTTTACATTAACTTCTTGTTCTAACAACGGGAAACTGATCTACTATCAAACATTCAGAACAACACATAACTTCAAAGCACAGTTTCAAAGTTCAACACATTTTCATTGAATTTCCTAAAATGTAATAGCTAGTGAAATTTTAAAACTACAAATTTTTGTGTCTTCCCAGGAGAAGGGGGTCAGGAGTGAATGCAACTACATTATGAAAAGATAACTACCTCTCCGCCCTCCAATCACACGCCATAACAAGAAAAATCACAAGCATATCATGTCAAAGGGGTTTTGGGGTATTTTCCTCTCTCATTTTTTTTGTCCTCATGAAGGTGCATACCTCACGTTCATATTACGAACAAAAAAAGGAAAAAAATTTACCCAATCATGGACTCCACGGGCCTCTTTCAGTCCATAGGTAAGACCCGAATACATCCCAGCAGCTATCCCTGCAAAAAATAGAAAATGTAAAGGGTCAAATACACTAGGCCATGCATTTTCAATTTGGTGTAATCAGATCAACCAACTTCGATTTGCTTATGAAACTAGTCACTCATCTTCATTGGAGCAATCAAGTTACCCAACTTTGACTTGCTTGCAAATCAGGTCATTCTATTAATTGTCCTATCAATTTTATTAATATAATAGGCTAACCTTAACATAAAAAACTAACATGACTACCGTATATGTCCATGTCACACAACAATGCACATCATACGTCTTAAAATACTTTCCATGTCAACTATTCATTATTGGTCAACATATTTCGTAAGTTAAACAGAAAGTAGTTGATAAAGTGATATCTGCAAACAAATCGAAGTTGGGTGACTTGATTGCACCAAATTGAAGATGAGTGACCGGATTTGCAAGTAAATTGAAGTTAGGTGATTTGATAGCACCAAATTCAAGATAAATGGCCTGGATTCAACTCCACTCAAATTTGGGTTACCCACAGCGCACCAAAAGGTAAATTAACAGAAACTTTTGGGCATCATATTAGGAAACGATACGCATAAATGCATATACACTCGGCCCCATCCCCCTACGGAAAAGGTAAAAGAAAACTAGGGAAGAACACATTTTAACAACCGCAGCACAGTGATGTCAATTCCAAGAGATCAAAAATGAAAAATGAGAAGCATCCTGTCAAATCCTTTGAAGTAAAAACTCAACTCTAAAACGAATAAGAACTCGTGTTCATATAAAGTCTTACCCCATTGCAGAGATTCTTTTCCAGTGCTCTTCACCTATCATAGTAGCGACGGTGCATTAATATCGTGCTATATCATAAAAAAGCGAGAAAATCTCACTAAAGCAAAACAAGTGAATTAGTAAATAAAACATTCATTGTCAGAAGAGAACTAGCGCTAATAAAACTAAATCAGTAAACCATGTGGTTAAGGATACAAGGCAAGCACCACGATCAAGATACACTAAATTAAATTTTGGCAGCAAATAAAGAGGGAAGGAAAAAAAGCCTTAAACCTTATTTCTAAATGAAGATTGCACTCATATATAGTGGACAGATTTCTATAATGACAAAATATCCACCACATGGAGTTTTTCCACCCAAAATCACTAAGCAAAAGGTTGTCTAGATACCATAGTGGTTTTTGTGAGTTCTAGTTTTGTAATTGACTCATGCTTTAGCCAAAGAGTTCAAGTTAATATTATAATTTAATATAACAAGTTTTTAGAAGACTGACTCGACCATCAATGAGTATGCCCTCTAATGAGCATCCCCACCTTATACACAATCCTTCTCAACACAGGTGTCCAGGCAAGCGAGAAGAGATACCCAAAACAGTTATCGCAGAGTTTTAAACGACGGTACCTGGCCCATTTTTCAAGATACAACTTTGAAAATTGACTAGTGGTGAATTCTTAACATTTTTGGGTTTCTTCAGTGATTTTTGAGCTTGCTCAAATCTTTAGAGATGAAGAGTTAATTCTAGAGCCAGGAGTAACAACGTTTTTTTTTAATTGGCAGTTAACTCAAGCTTTGGGCAGGTTATTGTAAGTTATAATTATAGTGGGTTACTGTGATTTCGCCACACATTTTTCCTCCTCAAACCAGAGAGATGTTCCACGTAAATTTAGTGTGTAATTATTTCAAATTAAGGGCATCTCATCATGTTAACTTTAGTGTTTTTCATAATTATTTATGGAATTTTAGCCATTGATTTGACCCATTCCCAAGACACCTGCTATATGCAACCAATGACCTGCGCCTATAGGCAAGTGTAGCGTCTGTTGACCTACATGCAACCCTCTTTTCACAAATGATGAATTATAATGCCTAAGAAAATAATGCAGAATGAGATTTAGGCTTACCAAGGCCTCAACTGAGTTCCTGTTCGTTTCTCCTGCAAAAAGTGTCAAGAATTATTAGGTACAACCGTCAATTACTATTCACACTTCAAATCTGTTCACGGTGCATTCGCAGTAGACAATATGCTGAAAGTGTGACAGTGTAACTCACATTACACGAGAAAAATGGTCGAAATGGACTCTGACGTGCAATACATTCAGCTAACACATATTGCAAAATATACCACATATAACCAGCAGATTTACGAGTTCTTTTACATTGTGGTGCATTCCATTGGCAGAACTTATATAATCACAGCCAACATACACACCCCATTTTCCATAATTGTTTGTGCACATATGATGCAAAGCACAAGAATAGATCAAGAAAACAGATAAGCAGGTTTCTACCACTTCTTGCCCGAAACATATCAGGAAACAATACATGGTTCTCGGTATAAACACCTGCCTCCATGATAAACTGTTCTAATACCTCTCCAATGAGACATATTACTTGCAGACAAAAATATTTATGACTTAAATCTACCATTTACTGGCAGACAAAAAAATTTAAGCCTTAAATATACCGTCACATGTTACTCGCCAAAAGGATTTCAACCAAAGAGTCATGGCTTGATCCTACTTGAATAGATGTAGGCAATAGTCCACCAAATTCAAGTAGCTCAAGAGCTTTGAATTGCCACAAAATTTAGTTATTTTCATCTTTCTTAAAGAGGAGAACTGTCAAAGATGGAATAAACCAGAGCCTTGAGGCATATTTGAGGGATAGCCTAGAAAAAAAAATTCAAATCACCTTCAATAATTAGTAGTAAAGTTTTTCAATTGAGTCTGTATTTTTTTTAAAATTGCCTCTGTATCTAACTACGATTCTCTCCCCTAAACTTCTTTTTATAACTAATGAATCAGAAAAATTGTACTAGAATCAAATTAATTTAAACCCTTGGTTTTCAAATACGCATGATTGCTTATTAGGCCATTTGATCAAATTTAGGAATGGGCGGGTGTCTGCTGCACCTTTGCTGTGTTGTAAATGTTACAGTTAACCATATTCTGCAGCAGTGCCTCTCCATATCCAGAATACATATAAGATACGTTTGGTAACGAACATTGAATAGCACACGAAAGTGTGAAAAAAAAAATGAAAAAACAAAACAAAAGAATCATGTTCTTTATATTGTTTACATTGTCCTATCCTTTATAGGGCTGTAAATGGATCGGATATGAACAGAATCTGCATATATCTGAGCCGATAATCCAACGGATATTTGATTGTTAAATCCATATCCGTTTTGCTATATTATCAGATAATCCAATCCGAAATTAAAGAAATTAGGAAAAAATAATGTTGGAATCAACTTTTATTTATTTATTTTTTTTCCCCAATTTTTCAAATTCTAAAATGGTTTAATAATTATAAATTTTTCAATTTTTTTATATTTTGAATTTGATGCGTTTTTATTTTAAATTTATTTATTTTAGTGAGAAATAACATGACATAAAAATATTTTACAAACCCAATTATTTATAACATATCGGATTGGATTGTTATCGGATTTATCTATATCCATATTTGATCCATTTAGTTAACGGATTATCGGATTCGGATCTTGATCGGGGTTATAGGACAGAAACCCTGAATTCATCTCCCATTAATTTCATCAGATTCGGATCGAATTCGGATCAAAATTCAATCCATGGACCGCCCTGATCCTTTACTGATCTCAATAAAACGAAGTAAATATTATCCTATTAGTACCTCTAAGCCCAGACAATCGACCTTGTTTCTTGGCGCCCCCAACCTCAGGATGAACGCCAGCATCTCCACTTGCACCTGATCAATCACATTCCATCTCAAATCTCATTAAGAACCCAAAAATTAAACTAATTACCCACAAAACCAACCAGAAATAAAAAAGAGATAGACCATAATAACAAATCAATAAAACCAGAAACGTACTTTCAAGAGAAACGAAATAGGCTTTCCGCGACACAGCTTGAATAGCTCCAATCTGCTCTCAATTAGCAAAGCATAAAGATCATTACTTTCAGCATAAACATGCATGTATACACATACATATATATTATGTGTATAACAGTGTATATTATTGTGTAAATAGACTTGCCCCAGCGGCTTTGACGAAACTTTCAGCAATCCGGTTAAGGAGAGGGTGACCAATATCAAAAAATCCACCCTTTTCCCAGCTGCTAAGCTCATCAAGAAGCGAGCGAGTTTCCAAATTGCTGCTACTCATTTTTACACAAGTTTCAACAGAGGAAAAGAAAAGTATACAAAACCCAGTTTCAAGAAAATTAACAGTGATATAATGGGGGGAGAGAGAGAGAGATCACTTATTTTCGGAGAGAGAAACGGGAAGTTCAGGAGACTAGGTGGGAGAGGACACGTGTATCTTTGGGTTGTGCACGTGTCCAATATCCAAAAACCATATTGAGAACTTCGCGGCGATTCTTTGCATCACGACGCGGAGTTATTTTTGCCCATAGATCACTGATCACCTGCTTTGCCGTCTGCCGAATATGGTGATCAAACCTGGCCAAGCGAAAAAGGCTTTCATTATGAGCTTTGCCATTTGTAAAGAAAAGTTGGCCACCCTGTTGACAGATCACTGTTGACATTATGTGATTGGGACAAAAATTATCTCTTGTTTTAAACAAGTAAATAATAGAATATTATGTAACAATCTATCATAAAAAAAAAAAGTAAGAATTTTTTGTACAAGTAGTTTGGTTCGAAAAAAGTTGCTTGACAAACTCGCCATGTACAAATAGCAGAGCTCTTCATTACTACAAGGAAAGTGAAGTGAGGATTTATCTACTTTGTCAGGCCGACAGTGCCACCAGGGCACAGCGAAGTAAAGAGGGGTCACTGTCGGACCAGATCAACCAATTCTATCCAAGAAATATTAGGCCTTGTTTGATTTGACATTATTTTTCATGAAAGATGGAAATTAAATTCTATTTCCACATTTTTGCATGTTTGATTGACTAAATTTTTTATGGAATTGGATTTCTACATTTTCTTGGTTTATGAGAAAAAGCTTTTCTCATGAGTTTAGTGGGAAAAGCTTTTCTAGGCAACTTTTTTTTTATTTTTTGCAATAGAAACAAATTATATCCCTTTAATAGACAATTTTCATGAAAAATAAAGTTAGACGAATACCAAAAGATCCAAAATTTCAATATTTTTCAGGTGAAAATTATATCAATCAAACACAATTAATTGACAATTCTCAATAAAACAAGTTTTAGGCAATTCAATTCCCTAAAATTCATTTTCTTTCTACCCAATTCAATTTTTGCAATCAAACGGACCCTTATAGAAAGGTTTGTAGAAAGAATCATATTGATTGTCAACTTTGATGTACATGTAGTAAGGTCTTCTTAGAAAGAGCATTTTTTTTTTAAGAGTATGCATAAGAGGTTTTTTTTTTTTTTTTTTTTTTCCATAGATTTTATATGACATCATTATGAGTGATTAGAAAAATTGGTGGTCGTTACAGTTTTTGGATATCAATTTTGAGTGAACTTTAAACCAAATATCGTTGTAATATAATTTTGATCTTTTATCTCAACCTATCATTTATAAGATAATTATTTTCAATTAATAGATTTTATTCAAAATTAACTTGTAAATAAACATAAATTAATTAAATAATATTATCTACAAGCAAAAATATTACTTTATAATTAAAAATTTACTTATAATTAAGATAAAAATCACTTTGTATAAAACATTGTTTATAAAGTAAAGATATTACTAATAAGACAAAAATTCACTTATAAATATAAAAGTTACTTATAAAAAAATTACTTATGTATAAAAATTATTTAAAGGTACAAAATTAACTTAAAATTATAAAATCTATTAATAAGAAAAAATATTAACTTCAAATTTTAAGTAAATACTTAAATTTTTAAGTTAAAATCATTTACATGTAATAAAAAAAAAAACTTATTTATAAGTAAAAAATCACTTGTGAGTAAAAAAAATTCATACTAAAAATTATAAATTAAAAATTTCATTAAGAGATATGTATATAATTTTATTCTTTTAAAAAACTTTCAGAATCAATGTTTTATTGAAAAATTGAATGGAAATGATGATTTTTGCAATAAAAGATGTAAATATAAGTGAAAATGCAAAAAAAAAAATGCAATGTTTGGATGTTTTGCCTATTACCGTGCAAATCCAAAACCATAACATGCCAATGGCTTCGTTCTCATAATATCCATTCGTCTCTTACCTCAAACCCATAAGGAAGAACTACGCTCCCTCTCTAAATCCCAAAAACTTCTTTACATTCAAGAACTTCAAGCTCTCATCCTCTTTAGGCCCCTCCAACCCAAAATCTTCTCCAAATTCGCAAGAAACCCCATCAGAATTCCTGCCCAAAGTTAATGCATATAAAAAGTCAGAGACGGCCTAGAGTGCGCGTGTTGAACGACCGTTCAGGTCCCCAACATTGTGGGGGCATTATTTTTTTATTTTTTTTGTTATATGTGTGTATATATGTATAATTAGAAATTTTTAAATCTTAAAATTTAAAATTTTAATTATTATGTTAAGTTAAAGAACACAATATTTATGCAAAAAGAGTTAAAAAATAGACAAATAATAATTTTTATTTAACATTATTATATTTCTTATTTCTAATTGTGTATCATACCAAGATATTTTTATTAAAGCAGGGAAAATGATTCATATGGTTTAGACTCCTTTATAGATAATTTCAATATATCGTGCTTAACTATTTTCATTTATGGATTAACTATTTATTAATTGTAAGCATTTGACTTGGTATAATATACAATTATATAAGATACTAAAGCTAAAAATAAATGTGATTGACTAGTTATAATTTTCTTGAATATAATTTTTTTAAATAGTATCATACCTTAAATAATGTGAGGGAAAAGATGAAATGTATAATTCGTAAGAAGGAACATTTTGATGAAAATAATATTGTAGAGGATGTAAAATCACCTGAAAATTCTTTCTATTCAGTAGATCAAGCAATTTGATCACTTGAACGAAGATTTGATCAATTCAATTAATATGAAAAAATGTGGGTTTCTATTTTTTTTTTTTGACGAGTTAAATTCATTGGATGATGATAATTTGAAAGCATGTCGTGATAGTCTAGATATTGTTCTAAGACATAATTTTTTGTGATCTTGATGGTGAAATTTTATTTCAAAAGTTAAAAATTTTTGTGAAATATTTTATCAAAAGAAATAAAAACAACTTTTGATATATTGACTTATTTGAAAATATTAGAATGTTTTTCGAATACATTTATTGCTTATAAAATGTTATTGACAATTCTTGTTACTATTGCATATGTCAAAATAAGTTTTTCAAAGTTGAAATTATTAAATCTTATTTACAATCAGCCATGTTACAAAAACGATTGAATGACCTAATTTTGATATCTATTAAACAAGGTTTGCTAGAACATATTGATTATGAAAGTTTAATTGTTAAGTTTGCTTCTAGAAATGAGAAGCTTACACAATTTGTTGCGTTTCAAGGTTTACATGTGGTGTTTGATATTTCTGATTTCAAAATTTGCTCATATTATTGAAATATATTTTTTTATTTCATGAAAGAGACACTATTTTAAAATGTCGCAAAGAGCACCCAAAATTTCAGGGCCAACTTGTAAAAACTCTGTAATTTCCGGCGGCCCACCTCCAAATATTGTTCACAATCCAGTTCAAGAAATGGTTACTGAAGTTAATAGAAAGAATGATAGGTTAGAATATGATGAAATTTAGAACAATACAGGAAAGGACTATGAGAATGATAAAATTATTGAATCAACTATTTCAAGAATTGTTCAAAACCATGTTACATGAGAGAAAAAGAATGATGATTCGGATGAAATTAAGGATACTAATGGGGAGAAAGAGATTTCATCGGCTGTTAAACTTGCATTGAAAAAAGTGATGGAGTATAAAAAATTATGCTACGCGAACATAGAGGATGACCGAACACACACACGTGATAGGATTGACATTTTTTAATTCAGACGGGACTACGCGCAAATGTGAGGTTGATCAACCCCTATGTCAAATTTTCCGGGCACTACAGCAAAATTCGTGTACAATGGAGTCATGGATACTAGTGCTATAAAAGTTGGGGGCAGTGAAACATTAGATTCGGGAGTTTTTATCCACGTGGGAATTTACACAATCCTTGACTGGTTTGGTTGTGGAGAAGTATGAGAAAGAAAGAGATTTATTTTATTTTATTTTTTAATAATTTATTTGGAGCTCGTTCGTACTTCACAAAAAGAAATAAAATTGGAACTATGTTTACAACTGATCCTTTATTTTTCTTTTCTATTTTGTTTTATTTAAATAACATGTTATATTCGTCATTTTACAGCTTTTTATTGAGAAATTGATTGAAAATTATAATTTCCGCAATGAAATGTATAAACAAGAGTGAACATGCAAAAGAAAAAAAATGTAACGTTGGAATGTTTTACACAATGAACTCTATACATATGCACATTTTGTGCTAATAACCCATTAATAAGCTCCCAAGTATGGGATGGACCTTTTAAAAATTGCTATTAAAATCACTCAAAAATAATCATTTCATAAACTATCAAAATCATGTTCCGTAAAACGCCTATAAAAGGGCACCCAAAACTCCCAAACAGGCCCTTAAGTTCCGCCCTCTGCATTTCATTTTGATAGTGAATATAGTTCTACCATCAAAGCAACTACTTTGGTATATTTTGATAAAGCGTAAAAAGTTAACCTTTAAATAATGTGTTTAAGAATTAATTATAATTTTTTTTATTCAATTAAAATCAAATACTAATTTCAACCATATACATTCATAAGTACTATCCAATTTACAATCCACACATTTCCTGAAAGACGATATTATTTCTCCTAAAAAGCTCTTAATAAACTTACCCAAACAAGGGTTTATAAGCTACCTTCTTCATGATAGCCTATTGTGGACTTGATCTAATACTAGAATTCACATAGATGGGGCCATGGTTCGAAAGATATCAAGTACAATTGACGTAAGGGCTTTTCAAGATTTTTGAAGGCCTAATGTTACTTGCACTAGCCGCATCCCAGCATTGTTAAGAAGAATTTCCTCCAGAATACAGGGCCCTGAATAACTTATTGCAACAGTATTATATACACAACTGCTGTTACTGGTCGACATGCCATCATAAGGATTATATAGCCAAGTGCTAGTACTGGTCCAAGCCAAAGGCGGCTGCTGCTGCTGCTGAATGTTTTCCAGCATATTCTTCCGTAACAAATGCATTTTCTTGATTTGCAAGAAAACGAATTACAGTGACTAAAACCAGACAGATAAAAATAAGTGACCAAACATGTTTTAAACCCACCTTACTGCAAAATTAAAATCACGTAGTAAATGAGAATCTGACTTGTGAATTTGAAACTCCATTGTATGATGATGAAATATCGAACAGTTCTGAGTAATTAGGACTAATAAATCCCTTCTCAATGTCTGAGTGGAGCTTCAAACAGTACCAATGCCTGTCCAGACCGCCTTGATCAGAAAAATCAATTATACCGTCTAAGTATGCCTGGAGGAATATGCATATACAAGCCTTCCAACCACTTCTCACCATACGCATTAAGCCCCAAACGAACCAGAGACAAAGCACGATGAAGTGGTTCCCAGAATGCGAGGAATAAGGCTTTCATCAAAACAAAGAGTGAGGCCATGGTGACACACAGAAGGGAGGTCATACTTATGACGCTACAAATGGCTGCCTCAAGTGCCTGTTTTAAATCTTTTCTCATAATAAACCATGCACATGAAAACACAAAACTATATCACATGAAATAGACAGAGTCAATATATGGAATAGGGCATTATACAAACACCTGAATCATAAATATCCAAACCAGAAACATTCCAGAGCCTCCACAAGCTTTCAGGATAAATACGACAATCGTCGAAATGAGGAAAATATTCACAAAACCGACAATTCTAAGCAATTCACATCAGGCATGTTTCACTCACAGTAGTAGATAGGATCAGAAAATGCACTTTACTTCTTTTCCTTGGCCAGTATTCTCACCAAACAGGCTAGTTAGGAACAAAATCACATGGAATTTCCAATCAGCATTGAACAGGAAACTAATAATTCAGATCATACATAATAGTAACATAAAAAGGATCTCATTAATATAATTGATCGAAAGGTAAACTCTAAATTAATCATCATCAAATTTATAGAAAAAACCCAAATTCCAGATACCAAAATGCCTATAATCCATTTTCCAAATAAAGGGGGAATGGTGAATGTAATTTCAATCTACTCTTCCTCGGTGGTGCTCTCGCCGGTCTTCTTGTTGTGCTTCCTTGCATACCTTTGGTTCCTCAAGAACTTTGGGTCCATCTATAAATACACAACAAAATAAATAAATAAAATCACAAATTCGAAGAGATACATATCACGCATACCTACAACAACAAACTAAGCCTTATCCTCCATAAATTAGGATCGGGAAAATGAATCTTTCTTCCCCATTCCATGTCGTTCGCAGCTAGATCTACCAAGAGGTTTGAAAAAACTAGACAAATAATGACCCAACATAATTTTAGACTACCGCTTTCTCTTTTAAGTTGCTCTGTTGAAATTATGCTACTCTTAACGAGAGCCACATACACCTACACCTACACATACACACAAATATATTATATTAAAAGAGAAATCAGGCGAATTGTGCGAACCCCTTTGGTGGATGTGTGGCGATGGCGTTTGGGTTTCTTGATGCCGTTCTTATGGGCTTTGTGTGACTGATTGTGCGCTGTGTGATTCTTCGACTTTGCCATTTTCTCCTCTGATTCTTCTCTGTTCTAATTCAGAAATTCAAAGAAAAATAAAAATGATTTTAGTAAAAATTTCGACTGGAATACGTCCATCCAGCATATATAGATGGAGAAAGCGCATACCTGTTGAAAGACGGCAACTCAGCAAGACGGTCCTGTGTGCAGAGTAGCTGAAGTTTTGGTACCCTAATTTCGGTGCTTGAAATGACCAAATTAACCTTGTGGAGTTAATTGGGCTTTCTGGATTCGATGATTCACATTATGGGCCTGGTTCTTGGTTCTTTCTGGGCTAACTCAAGCCCAAACCTACCTCATTTTATTAAGTGGTAATTACACAAATCCTTACTTTAAGTATTCAACATTCTAAAATCAGGTGACAAGATTAATATTTCAAAAATCAGATTTTTTTAATTAATATATTATTATTAAATAAACCCACCCATCTCCCTCCCTCTACCCACCCACCTACTTCATTTCCCCCAAACCCCATTCTCTCTCGACCTCTCTTCTCTCTTGCTGCTCTCCTTCTCTCTACAAATCTCATCCTCTCTACAACTCCACCTCTTTATCTTCTTTCTCTTTGTTCTCCCTCCTTAGCGTCCCCGGCGACCCATTTATCTCCGGCAATCGGCGACAAATGAGATGCGCCTGTCAACGCCGTGAGAACAGAGACGCTGCAATCCTTCGGTTCTCTTTTCTGATCTGGCGGAAGCTGAGTCATGATCTCATCGGCGCTCTTCATCGCCTCATTGGCTGGCTGCAGCAACTTCTTCGACGCCGCTTTGACGCCCCCAGCTCTTGTGATTGCTTTGCGACTTCCTCCGCGAAGCTCCGAGCTCTTCGCCGAAATCCAGCACTGCGTGGAGTGGGTTGAGGGATAGAGGAATAGGGTTAGAGTATGTGAGACGGTGGTGGTGACGGCGTGGTGCCGAATTTTTTGTTTTTGTTTTCGATTGTGGTTTTCAGATCATGAGGTGGTGGCGGTGTGACGGCAAGGTGGGAGATGTTGTCGTAACCTTGCACCAAATTGGAACTGCATCCATCATCAAGATTGTGACCATGAAGTGATGATGGTTTTTGATATCTATGTTTGATTTTGCAAAGGGTGACGGCGATATTGTTAGTGCTGGAGATTGTCATGGTTTTTGGTTTGCTGTCTATTGGTGATGCTGTGTTGGCGACGTTAGTGATGGTGGTTGTGGTGAGTTGTCGACGGTGGTGGCAGCGGCGGAGTAGGGTTAGGGCATGTGAGACGGTGGTGGTGGTGGTGGTGAGGTGGTGCTATATAGTCTATGTGACCAATTCTGTGACCAGAGCCATATGCTGTAACCTGTGTTATGACCTATGTTGTGACCTCAGCCATGTGCTGTGACTATCAATAAAAATCTGAGCGTTTAGAAATAACATGGGACTATGAACAAAATCGTGACCTGTACTGTGACCATTTGAAAATAACATGAGACTATGAACAAAATCGTGAGCCATGTGCAATATATTCCGTGACCTGTGCTGTGACCATTTAAAAATAATCCGTGACTATTAACAAAAATGTGAGATATGAGCCTTATCGTGTTATCAATCATTATAAACAAACAACCATGCGTTGTAACTTGTGACCTGGGCTGTGACTTATGACTTGTGATCTGAGCTGTGACTTGTGACATGGGATGTGACTTGTGACCTGGGTTGTGACCGCAAAAAAAACATGTCAACCGTACCAAAAAATATATCGGAGTCGTCGCCGAAATATTCACCGGAGTTGGAACAATTGCCGGAATCGGAGCAGTCGTCGAAAAAAATGATGCCGGAACGATCACCGGAATCAGAGTAGTCGCCAGAACGATCGTCGGAAAGTTTGCCGGAGTAGGGCGGTGATCGGAACAGTCGTCGGAGCGGTAGAGATGGTGAAGGTGGAATAAGTTAATTATATTATATTAGAATTAAATATTTAATAATAAATTAATTTAATAATTTATTATTTCATAAATAAAAATTTAAAATTTTTTAATAAAAATCTGATTTTGAAAATTTCAAACTTATTTTCTCATTTTTGAAATAGGTTAAACTTATTCTCTTGAATAGATAATCTTCCCTTTTATTAAATTGGGTAGAAATTGATTCTCATTCAATTTTATTTGCATTTACGTCCCTATTCTATCATATACGTAGCACTGTGATGCCCCAACTAACATATTCCGTCGACAGGCTGTGAAGCACGTTAAGCTTCCACGTGACATTTATTTTTTACACATAAATTTGCAAAATATATTTTAAAATAAATATTATTTTGTCTATCAATGTTAAGAATTAGTGGATTACTTATTTCAAAAGTAATTCCTAAAAATAAGTAATACATACCTCATAAGTTTAAAACCAAATAAGTTTAATAACCACAGACAAATAAAACGTCCTGTAACACATTTTTGTAGAACATGTAAACGGGGGCTAAAACAAAAATTGAACTCCTCAATCTCGGAATTTACAAAATGTACACACATTTTGTCAGTAACACAAACCTCCACTTGTTCCAACACTTCCATTGTCTTTGCAGATAAAAGTTTATCCCATGTCTGTGTCAGGATCAAGAAGTCCTTCATATTCGAGCTGCAACATAACAATTATCAGTCAATAATGCAAGTTAGGATTATAATATAGCAACAAAAAATTGCCATGGTATCGAACTTTCACAAATAAAGCACATAAATTCCTGATCAGTCTCCGAACTTTCATTTCTGAAGTATGTTTATCTTCCCTAGATGGAAACCGTCTGTTTTATTAAGTCAGGGCAAAGTAATCTGTGACGGAAAATTTGACCATTTCCATTTAGTGGGGACCAAAGTACAGTGGAGATGAAAGTTTGAGGACCTAAATGCTAGAAAAATTGATTGGCGACTCGTATGCTAAAGTTTTGGAAGTTTGAAGAACGCAGTTGCAAATTTCACATAAGTATAAAAGAAAAGTTATCACCTTTGCTTCATTATGTGCCAATTTCATCCTACGATATTCTTCTTGTGCTTGCTTTGAACGAAACATTGCCTGTACTCGTACTACAGATCTCTCAATGCGTTCCTCAGCTTGTTTTCTGCTGGCTTTGAAGAAGTCCTCCTCTGCATCACTATCTTGAGTCTGATCATTGGGGGCAGCATCAGCTTGAACCTGAAGCCCCCGGAAGCCCTTTCTTTTTAGACGCCAACGTAATATTGCTTTTTCAACGATTCCGACTGACCAAATAATCTTACGGTACTGCCTCCGGACTTGGAAACCCCGGAAAACAGCCTGCATTATAGAAGAATTACATCAAATGCTATCCAGTAGAAAAATGCTTATAGTATCAATCGCATTTTGCAGACATCATCAAGTACGAGTTGCACATAAAATCAGTGGCTAGGAATACCAGAGTGACGGAACATCCTGATAATACATATTAGGTAGCATATGCAAAGGAAAATAGCATTTTTTTTCAGTTTTCTAGTCATTCCGAGTATTACTAGGTGCCAATCAAGAAACTCAACATCCTAAGCATATACCAACAAACTTGAGCATAATATAACGACAGAAAAAATTGCATAATTTGTCCCCTAATTACTGTCTGAATAGCAAGTTGGTCACCAAATCTTCAAAAGATGTAAGTCCATCCTCATTCTTTCGTTACGGTCGAACTATCAGTCTCCAATGGCGGGAACCATCAAAATCTTTGTTAAATCATCACATGGCCATAGTGAAAAAATATCCCACTTCAAAATTTGGGCACCTCCAAGTTGAGAAAGAAACCTAGGTTCATCAATGGGGACGTGGGGATCATGTGACAATTTAATAGACATTAGGACAATTTTCGTCATCGGAGACTTTTGTACAACTATAATGAATGATTGAGGACAGATAACTAACTTTAAAAAGTGCAACTTTCCCATATCAAAATGATGAGAAAACAGCAAGTAGGACTCACTTGAATTCTGGTTGCCTGGCGACGCATGTTAATGAAATCCTTTCGTATCTTCCAAGTACGGAATCTATATTGGATTTGTGCAGCAGCTTTGATCTTTTTACGTGTGTCAAAGTTGCGGAAAGCGTGCTGGATCTTCATTGCTGCAACTATGTTGCGTGCTTCAATCTCCGAATTGGATGCTTGAACTTCCTTCGTCCGAAGTTTGAATGAGTGCTCTCTAAATGCAGCATGAATACGTGCAGCTGCATCAGCAGCTGTCCTGTAAGCTGCCAGAGTATCCTTCAGATACAACTCCTCCGTAAAATTTTCAGAGTTCGCTGAATCATTTGTTGTGGTTTGCAGCGATCCACTGACATTTCCAGCCAATGTCATATCCTTAAAATGTGCAACTAAGCCCTTTTCAGCAAGATAAGCTGCTAATCCATCATGACCATTTATAGAAGCAAGATCGGCAGCAGTACGTCCACCAGGGTTTTGTGGTGTTGGATCCGTGACTAAGTTTGGCTTTGCCCCAGCAGATAAAAGTGTTGCCACCATTTTCTCCCTGAAAATAATTATACTCAATCAGACACAAGGAAATGTTTGGCTAATATTAAAAAATTACTTATAAATAAAAAAAAAGTAAGTCTGGCAGGAAATAAGTCATTTCTTTTCATTCAGAGCAAGGGTAAATAAGTTGTTTAGTCAGTCAAAGTTGGAAATAAGTTACTATTTTGACGGTAATCCCCACATTGCTGACAAATTAAGTAACATTTTTACTTATAAATAAGAATAAAATAACTTTTTATGCTAGCCAAACATATTTAGTTTAGTTATAAAGCTTTAGTTTACTTATAAGCTTTACTTTTTATAAGCTAAGCCAAACATGCAAAATATAATGTTTTCGAGAACTTTGAAAAAAGTCCACGGCTGTGAACACTCAAATAGAAAACTAAAATTTTTCAACAATATTCCTACAATATTGTTACTACAGTATCTCACATATAACATCATTACAAAGTCTAATTTTGGATAATTATCTTACCACTCACAAACATATGCAAACAAATGCTCAATAATAAGCGTACTCAAGGAGAGGAATATATAGACGGAAAACGGAAACTGGAAGAATACATTCTACCATTTCATGTAGAGAACATAACTGTACCTTCCATAATATGCAGCCCAATGAAGAGCTGTCCATCCGAATTTGTCTCGATAATCCAACGACAGGCTGGACCATGAAAACGGATAAACAGCCCATGTATAACCTAGAATGGCACATAAATGAATTACACCTTGGCCCTGTTCATCACGTTCAGAAATTTTGCTCCCTGCTAATACATTTTCTATCAACCATTCTTGTAGTCTATTCTGCAAGGTCAACTCAAACAAGCTATCTTTTGCCTGAGGGAAAGGCATTTTGGTGTTTTTAATTGATTCCATCAAATATTTCCAACTATCAGAGAGAATATACATTTTCTGAGCAAAATCTTTGGCTTCTTTTAAGGCATTTTGTGATACTCTACTGGAAACGATATTCAGGCTCTTGGATGATGAAAACAGCAAATAAGCCAGCCTCGTCTGAAATAGAGATTTTTCCCAATCAGAATTATTTTCTGGAGGAGTCATCTTCACCAAAGGAGCACGAAACTCAAAGGTCAAAACTTGGCTAATTGGTGTGTGGCCATCAAAACTCAAGTACAGATTCACTGATCCAGGAGATTGAGGCAAAATTGAACAACGAAACACTCCAGATTGAACAGCTACTGCAGGGACCATAGAATCTCCACAGACAAGGAATACATTGGACTCAGGGATGGGTACTTGTCCTTCATGGAAAAACCCAACCACTAAGATCTGCACAATAATGATCGTTATTCTATCTATAATAATTGTCTAGTTACGTATCATAAACATACAAAAGAGATACAGTGATGTGATAATAAAAAAAATATCAAACACTGCCTTCCAAAATCATATTTTTTGGGTTCAAAAGTTTGAACTGATCAAATCTTAAATATAGACAGAAACATGCACTAGACATTATTCTGAAATATAAGGAATGTCTATTATGAAAAGATTAGTATCTTTTTTCGAGGGAAAAAAATGTGTCTCGCTTTGTTCTCAAAGAGTAACATCAACATGTATACCAGTTTATTACTTTCATGCAAATAGTACGAGGTAAAAGTGTCACAAAAGAACCTTTGTTTCTTCATTTGAAAGACCCCACGCAGGTGAGACATCTGTTATGTTTAATATTTGCCCCAAAACAGACGAGCCATGGTTATCATACGTGGGAGGAGTGAAGGGCTGATAACCAGCTGAAGTTGAAGATTCCAGAGTTCGATCATCTACTGATCCTGGGGAATCAGCAATTATATAGTTTATCCACCTTCCAAAACTATCCTGTGTTTGCAAAGCATTTTGGCTCAGATTATCTAAAGAATCACGTCCACCCACTGACTTCAGTCCAGGAACTGTATTCTGCAAATTCACAATCACTTCACTCCCATTGTCTAATAGGATATATTATTGAAAACTAACTTTCTGGGTATAACTTTTAGAAAATTAGGCATTGTCATAGAGAAAACCTTGCAAATTTTCAATTGACAAAAATGTCACAATGTTCTATCTTCAAATTGATCAAAGAGATATGAGCAATTTAACAATTTAGTGACATGATTGATATGAAAAGAGCAAAATAATTAAATTAAAAAATGAGAAGGCAGCTCGTCCAAAATTTCCATTCACATCCGAATTTGTTCACATTGAAAGCATATGAAACAGCAACATGAAAATACCAGAAACTGAATTAACCGTGCAAATGAATATGCACATGTGGATCTATGCATCAGTCAACTTCAAGCAAAGATAAAGGAACAAAACACAAGAACCAAATCAAGAATGTGCAAAATCAAAGCCTCTATGCAGAGGTTGTAATAAAAGTTCCACGCATACTACAATATTCTATGACAAAGGAACTTTTCACAACTGTATACGATCCCAAGAAAAAGGTACACTAACCAAAAGGACATTCACTTTCATACACCATTAATCAGAAAAAGCAAAAATTGGATGGAAAGATTTCTTTATGGCAATTCATTACCCGTTTATGCTTAGTTTTAGAGCACCAGGACAGGTTTATTATAAGGATATGGTCTAGTCTTCAATGATAAAATGCGTATGTATTCAATAGTAAATGCCTGCAAGAGTAATTCTCATACCCACACCCAAAAAAAATGCAAAATTGGAAGGACTTCCTTCAGTAGCTTTACACACGAGAAAACAAGGATGTATTCAGAATATGAAATACACATAAAATTCAACAGTTCGCTTACATTAGTTTTGAAACTGCTCATTTGATATTGATTCTGTAAATCAAAGTCTGAAGTTTTCCCTGTAACCAGAAAATTGCACGAATAAAGTAAATGGTCAGCATGTCCATTAGAACCTTATATTACAAATGCAAACACTTAAAAATATCAAGTTCATCACCTTCTTGAGGTGAAATTGGCACCAGAAGCTCATCCCATTCAAGTGTATTTATCTCATGAAGTCTCTGTTCATGATTTTCAGTAGTCATACTCTCATTATTCACTGGAAAATAATTGGGAAACAAGTACTTCAACATTAGCCATATTCAAGGAAGAAATCATGTCAAAGACCTCGAGGTCCTACATATATAAATTTATTTTATTTTATTTGGAAACTCTACGGTACAATGTGTAAGAAAATGATTTTATACATGGACCAAATATTTTCATTCGAACGGTAAAAGATGATATCATCGTCTATATTTTAATTTCACCTGATTGTGGTCTGCTGTCATATGCCCGATCAACTGTGGAATCAGATTCTTCTAAAGGCCAAAGAGCAGATGGGTCAGAGACGGATGAAGAATTGGTATTCATAGGTGTGGCTGGAGAACCCTGAAACTGTATGATGAGTTAATCATAAGCCAAGTTTCATCCAGATTAGAAATATTTGCAAATGAGATTTCGAGTGAGTGAAATATATATAATGCTCAAAAACCAAAGCCCCTAACCATTTATCACGACCTTGAGGTATTCACATACAACCTATGGTCTCGGATCTGTCAAAGAAAAGAAATAAATTTCCATGCAGCTAATCTCAGTAGCAACTAAATATTTGTCGGCCGAGGGTACATATATGCATAAAAAAGGCACAAGGTCCAAAGAAAGCAAAAGGCACATCTAAAGCAGTCCAAGCCACACAAATAAGAACAATTATTATGAGAAGGCAAGAAGTTCACCCATATACGACTCAACAATTTCATTTATGATAAGTAGAGACTTCAAGTATAAGCAATCAGCAAGAAAAGTAAAGGTGGCAAATGCAAGTGGCCTGGTATTGCCTTTTTACGCTACATGACTATGCGGCTTTAGAGCTAATATTTAGAGAATTTGATAGTTGAAACCAAACGAATGAACTTCAGTGAGTATGCAAGTTCTTTCTGCACATGAATAAGCATATCTAAGCTCCACTATTTGTATTATTCTCTACAAATTCGTTTTTACAACCAGAATAGGATCGCCAATTCATAGAGACGTGTTGTCTTTCCAAAAGCATTATTCCATATATCAGCACAGTAACATATATGAAGATTATAATACACAAAGAATTAAATTGCAATCAGTAAGAAGCAAACCTCTTGAGTTTCACGATAATGAACAAGGACAATATGTTCGAGTGACCTGCAAAATAATTACTGGCGAAATTAAAGTTTTATATGATCAGGCTTCTCATGTTCGGCAATAGTGCATAAAGGTGTTTGTAATGGTTAATGTAGAAGCAATAAGCAAAAAACATAAAGATCAGGCCAAGACTTAGATTTCACAAGGTTTAGAATTTCATACTTGTCGAGTAGCCAGTAACATCTGCGAACAAAAGTCAGGTTATCTTCTCCGTGTGCATAGTATACATGAATCCTTTCGTCGTTACCAACCTATATGACAACCAAAATTAATGGTAACTTGTACTGTAGATCCGGTTGATGAAAATTTCTAAAATCAACCGGTGTGAAGTCAGCTCAGTGGGAAAGAAAAATGGATTAAGCCCTGCGTACAGGGCAGTTTTTTCACAGGGGCCTGTACAGTGCGGGGCCCACCCCAATGCATTAAAAAAAAATGCACCACCCACCCCCCCGCCCCCCAAAAGAAAAATGATATGAGTTTAATGTCTGTCTTAGCAATGTAAGCAAGATTCATCAAAGACAACAGCGGAGAATACAAAACACAGCAGTGAAAACTCAAAGGAAGAGTAAATCAATAGTCCCTTGTGTGAAATTCTTGCAGAAACTACGGAAAGACAGATGGTTAGAAATCAAATCTTGTTGACGTATTCCTAATCTATCCCAAGATGCAAAAACAAGAATGGAGCTATAGTTGGTAAAAAGGACCATGGTCCATGGAAAGATGACGGCAAGTATATGAAGTAAATCTTTTTAGAATACCCCTAACCATTCCTTAGAGTAATTCTACGTTTTTCGGTAAAGGAGGAAAGGGGGTCAAGAGTTTTGGCCAGAAATTAGAGAACAAATGACAGAAAGTCCATGAAGTGCAGTTTTCTATAAAATCACCCCGTCTTTAACAAACTGCGTGAGATTGCAAATAAGGAATAAACGAATTCCTCTATGGCTCCAAGTCATCACTCAATGAAGTAAAGTTAAATCCAGGGAAAACTGATTTCAATCGTCTTCTGATAATTTCCATTCCTCTTGCCATCTTTTCATTCAAGCCATGATCCTCCAGGAGATTCAATTACTTCATTTGGGTCACCCATCCAACATGCCAGGGTTACCATTTCCATTTCCATAGGGATAAAAAGCACCATGGGCCCTGTATATGTTAAAAACATGGAGAAGATTTCCCGGTTGCAAATTGATGGAATCCCTAATACAAATGAGCTTCAACATTTGTAGATGTCACAAACTAATTGAATTGGCAAAAGATAATATACACGAGTATATTTTGAGTTCAAGTTGAAGCCAAGAGGATTCATTTTTATCCAAAATTATCGGTACACATAAGATATACCAAAAAAGAAGTAACCAACATAACATACACATAATCTTTTGGCACATATAACACATTCAAGGGTAGGAAGCCCTTACTTTCAAGTGTTCATGAGCTTCTTTAACAGTTCGTCCATCCTTTTTCTTCTTCCAGTTATGGCCATCTTTCCGAAAATTCCGCAGCTTCTTACGGTCAAACAATACAATTGTGCCACCTATTTCATTGCAATAAAATAAAGATAAGCTATAAATTAGAACCTACCATAAATTTTCCTAACCCGCTTCATCCCAAATACATACATAGTTGCCTCTTTAGATGCAAGAATGGAACCCTTCAAATAAATTTTGTTTTAATAAATCAAAAAAGGTATGGAAAAACATAAACATACAAATGTATTACTTTTTGGCAAATTCACGGGCTTGACATTAATGGTGAAATACTTGTAATTACACAAAATCGCATGAATCTCATTTGGTCTGAGCCATCTGGTCTTGGCTTCCTCCATTATATCACCCATGTCCAAATCTATCAATGCAAGAAGGATCGGAAATTAAAACTTCAAAAAATATTAAAATGAACAAGAATATGGAACGCCTTTATTTTATCATTAAAAAGCATATAGTAACACAAATTAGCGCATACAAGTATGAATCAATCAATAAATAGAGACATTATGCCTTGGTAACACTCCGGTCAACATGTTTCAAGATAGATTATAAAAATTTATTTCAAAATTATAGCCCTCGTTTGGTCCCCATTATTTCCAAAATACATTTTTCTCCATCTTATTTTCAACCACGCATTCTTCAATAAAGTAATTTTACACACAAACCCAAAATATTTTCGTATTTTTTAACCAAAAATTCTCGTCAAATCACTATTCCAGGATGCATTTTTTGCAGAAATTGTGGCTCAAACATGCTCATAATGTCAAAGGCAGTCCAAATAGTATATTGCAACTCACTTGAATGCTGTTGACTCTACATTTCATAGGACATACATATTAACTCAATACAATTTGACATTGCTTTAACCCAATCCATCATAGTCATTAGTCAACCTGAGTGCCCTGGTCTGCACGCACAAATGCCGTATATTTTGGCATTTTGCAATAGTTGGTCTGTCAAGTATTATTTTTTCTTGCATTAAGTTCTAATAAATTGTGTATTGCTTGCTTACTTATCCTGTACTTTTCATAAATTGGTGGCGGCAAAACTTGAAGATAGGACTGCGAGTCAAACTTATTTATTTAATTTATATTTTCAACAAAAACAATCTAAAGTAAAAGAAGAATTAATCATATACTTTCTTCCTATATTAAATCTTAGTGCTAAATTATTGCGAGATGATAAACAGTAAAACCGACAACGCCCATTGGAAGTTGACCTGGCGACAGAAAATACTCAAAACGATTAAAACTTCATAAAATAAATTACCAAATATACACAAGGAAAGACGTGTGTCTTCTAAATAGATTTACTCGTATCTGTGTTATACCTGCCATGGTACGAAACCCGTGAATCTCGGACCCATCGAGTCTACCCGGTATACCGCTCTCCATTTCAGCAATTACTCAAACATTCCATACTCCAACAAAACTGTAGTTTCAATTAAATCAAGCAAGTTAATCGATCATTCCACACTCCAGGTACTACTCCGAGAAGCTAAATTCCCGAATAAAAACGGATTAATTTGTTGTAATGTTTTGAAATGGAACGGGAGAAATTAGATTGTGATTGATTGAGAAGAGCAAATCAATTTCAATACGATGTTTGTCTATGCAATGGGAGATGAAAATGAGAGATGGTCGAATGGGAAAGAAGTCTTCCCAGTTTATTATTTCGTTCTTTGAATGGAAAATGGGTTTCCCTAAAACGCCGTGTACCGGACCCCACGCCCCACACTCACAGTGGGGGGCGTCCATTATTTTATTCACCTCGGTGTGAAATGTAATGTTTTATAGGTTATACCGTGAAGGGAAAAAAAAGAATTTAGTAAGGCACCGTTTGGTAACCATTCTTTTTTTCATTCTCATTTTTTTACTAATTTTTAACCATATATTTATAAATAAAATAATATTTTCCATCACATCAATAACTTTTCCTTCATTTTCAACCACAAAAAAGGTGTGATTTGACACAAAAAATACATTTTTTTCTAGAATAATGGTTACCAAACGGTGTTTAAATANTTTTCTAGAATAATGGTTACCAAACCGTGTTTAAATAATTGTTATGACGTGAATGGTTCATCCCCAGTGAAAGTACCAAGGGTCCGTTTGATTGTAATGATGAAAAATGAGTGGAAATAAAATGAATTTCAGAGAATTGTTAATTAAGTGTGTTTGATCGGTATAATTTCTCACTCATAAAAATTTAAAATTTTGTATCTTTTTCTATTCGTTTGGCTTTGTTTTACATGAAAATTGTCCATTAAAGTGATAATTTTTTTCACAATTAGTTATAAAATTTGTTTCCATTACCAAAAAATAAAAAAAATAAAAATAAAAAATATTTCATAGAAAATCATTTTTTCATTAAAATTAGTGTTCATTTGCCTTCGTTTTATATGAAAATTGTCTATTAAAGTGATTTTTTTTTTTTTACGATTGGTTATGAAATTCGGTTTCCCATAAAAAAGTTGGGAAAAACAATTCAACCAAATTATGGAATTGGTGCACGCGTGAACCATTTGTGGAAGTGTTTTCTAAGTAAATTTTGCGCCATTAAACACTACAAAAGATGAAAAATTGAATTTGAATTCCATTTTCCATGGAAAATCCCTCTTACCAAACGGTGCCTGAGTTACTAAACCCTTATTTGATAGGATTAAAATCTACATTTTAGTCAAATCAAAATCAACTATTAATTTTAATCACATTTTCATAGGATTCTTCAATTCATCATTATTTTCGTTTTCATTATTTATTTTGTTCGAATTTTTTCTTCAAAATATCTTATATTATTTTATAGCTCACGCGGTTTTATTTAATGCATGGGACCCGACCCCCATGTGAGTGGAGGCGTGGGCCCGAGTAATCCAAAGGGTAGACCAAAGGGTTAATGTAGCAAGACCCTTTTTTTTAATGGTGAATTGACCAGATCCATGTCTAGAGGACCCATGTATGCTACGTGTACATAATTTTTTA